GTCCCGCCCACTGTGGGCCAGCTGGGCCTGGGGCTGCAGAATACCAAACATCGGACTCCTCTGTCCTCCTGTCAGTTTAAAGGGAAAGCTGGGGTGACGCTGCAGCCTGAGGTGTGTGCTTGGGAGGAAGAGCCTGCGGGAGTCAAAGGAAAGAAAGGGCCAGCCTGTCCCTTCACGGGGAGGGGCCTTTTACCAGTACCGGCTTACTAATACAGTGACTGGCTTACTAATACAGTGACGGACTCACCTTACGCTTGGCACCCTGCCCAGTCACTCTCCACCTGCCCCCTCTAGTTGGGTGGCGGGAGGAGCGGGAAGGTAATACTGTAAGTATCTGGACTTACATGCCTTAGCCTGTGCAGTGTAACATGCACTTAAGTCCACTGTTTCCTTTGTCCCTTCTAACAAGTCCGTGAGTCACTGAAGGCAGGGTTGCTATCTCCATTTGTACACAGACGCAGGCTCAGAGAAGTGACTTGCCCAAGGCCTCACAGCCAGTGCTGACTGGTGCAGTGGGTCTTTGGGCTTGCAGCTGTCCCTGCTTTGCTGGCCCCACTGATGCTCCAGGGCCGGTGCCGGGAGCTCCTTTCAGGTGCAGCACAAGCTCTCGACCCACGACTCTTGGATTTCCTTCCTGCTGGATTTCTAACACCACTTCCTCCCTCTGTTTCCTTGCATGCAGGTTCATGCTTTTATCAAGAGATCTGATGCTGAGGAGGTAGACTTCGCAGGTTGGCTCTGCTCGACCATCGGCCTTAACCAGCCCAGCACACCAACTCACGCGGCTGGTGTCTGAGTGTTTGGGAAGCAGCAAAGAGCGAGTCCCCTGCCCAGCGGTGTGCCATGTTGCTTTCGGGCCTCTTTCCCATGCCTGTCTCCCATTCAGACGTGCACTTCACCTACGACAAAGGATGAAAAACACAGCATGTGCCAAAATTCTACTCGTGTCATTTTTAATATTACTGTCTTTATCCTTATTACTACTGTTACTCCCCTAAGTGGATTGGCTTTGTGCTTGGGGCTATCTATGTGTATGTTGATGATCAAAACATGTGCCAGGCTGAATTACAGTGAAATTTTGGTGACTGTGGGTAGTCATTCTTACAATTGCACTGCTGTTCCCACTCCGTGACTGACTGGCCACCTGTATTTTTGGGATTTTTTGACATTGGTGGTACTTTACTCTCGCCAGGCGTACTTTCTCTCTGTTTGAGTAGGAGGGAGCCTTGTGAGATCCTCCACAGGCAGTGCATGTGAAGCATGCTTTGCTGCTATGAAATGAGCATCAGAAAGTGTACATCCTGTTATTTTATTATTTTTTGCTTTTGATGTAGAATTCAGCAGTCTCCATCAAAATCTAGCCAGAGCCCTTCACTGCCATGATAGCCGGGGCTTTACCAGTCTGTCTACTGTGATGATTTGTAGACTTCTGGTTATATTTCTATATTTATTTTTAAATACACTTTGTGGGATATTTAGTGGTGTATGTCTCTTAAGTTTTGATTAGTGTTTCTAAAATGGTGGAGTTGTTTTGAATGTCACAAATCGATCAAGGCATTAAAATGTGTCAGATTTATCTTTCCCCATAGCCAGTACCAATGCTATTGTAAACAAAGTGTATAGTGCCTAAAAATTGTATGAAAATCCTTTTAACCATTTTAATCCAGATGTTTAACAAATCTAATCTCTTATTCTAATAAATATACTATGAAGTTAAAAAGTGATGAAAGGTATTTCTACTTTTGTGGTAGGCTTTTCAGTTTCTCTAGTACACAAGAAAGCAAATGGTTTGGCCAAGCATTATTGCAGGGGGAAAGGTAAAGACAGGCAGGCAGGAGGCGGGTGCTTTGGACTAATGGGGCTTCCTGTAATTTCAGTCTTTGGACTAGATCCAGCTCTTCTCACCCGACACCTTTATCTGTGACCCTTCCAACCACCTTCCTGTGGACCTGTGAACAGATCCTGTCTACTCCTTTCTTCTCCTTATACATGGGAAAAGCAGCAGGTGGGAGCTGGGAACCCATCTTGAGAAAATCACAGAACATTTCTCATTTTCCACAAGGGCTGAGCTGAGGGCTTGCGTGCAGTTCCAGGCTGCCACGCTCACAGAAGGGCCTTGCTGGTGGAGCCCCTGCCACAGATGACACAGTCAGTCTCCTTTGCTACACGGAGCAATGTTTTCCCTTCTTTCACCACTTACGCTTAACCACACCTTCCTGTAGAGTAGGAAATGTGCCTGCTGTTAGCTTTGTCATACCTGTGAGGTGGCAGTGAAGTCACAGAAACAAAGCCATGTCCCCTTTAGTGCCCTTTCCTTCTCTGAAAAATGACTCTTGGAACTTTAGGTACATGTGAGGCTGCCTGGTCAGTACCTCTCTCTCCTCGTTTTCTTCTTTGAAAGGGCAGGTTGTAGAAAACCAAAGCCAATGTATGGATTTAAAAATAAAAGACCGATTTCATTTATAGATTAAAAACAACCTGGGTATAAATAATCTCCTGAGTAAGTATTTAATAGTTCCAATGTGGAGCTATCGGAGGTTGGGATTTAGCTAGGATTCAGAAAACCGGGCAGTTTTACATATGCTGCTGCCTAACTAGTCAATCTTTCTCTTGGAGTGAGGCCAACAGCTGTTCTAAATCAGCAGATGAACTTGTATGTTTTCAACATATAAGCTGAGTCTTAAGACTCATCCCCTATGGCCGGGCGCGGTGGCTCACACCTGTAATCCTAGCTCTCTGGGAGGCCGAGGTGGGCGGATTGTTTGAGCTTAGAAGTTCGAGACCAGCCTGAGCAAGAGCGAGACCCTGTCTCTACTAAAAATAGAAAGCAATTAGCTGGACAACTAAAAATATATAGAAAAAATTAGCCGGGCATGGTGGCGCATGCCTGTAGTCCCAGCTACTCGGGAGGCTGAGGCAGAAGGATCGCCTGAGCCCAGGAGTTTGAGGTTGCTGTGAGCTAGGCTGATGCCACGGCACTCTAGCCTGGGCAACACAGTGAGACTCTGTCTCAAAAAAAAAAAAAAAAAAAAAGACTCATCCCCTATGTCTTCTACTAACAGGATGCCACCACTATTGAGAATGTCTCATTAAAATGAGGAAACTGCATCCTTAGAAAAAAGTACTAGTATGACCTGTCTAAAACCTGAATCTCACCACTTTTGTGCGTGGTATTTTGTTGAGGGGTGTTTTAAATTCTGTTTGTATCCAAAGGTACTGTATTTTTAGAGTCAAAAGAATTTTTTCCAGTTGTTTTTTATGAAGAATGGTCTTGTTTTCAAGAATGATATTCCCTGTATCAGTCTTGCAGTGTTTTGAGCTCCCCGTGCCAAATTCCTTCCTCAAATTTCCTCTCTGAGACACCAACAACAGCTGGACTTTTTAATATCTCGTTAGCACCTTGTAACCTGTGAAACTGCTAGAGCAGATGTGAACATTCTCATTTTACAGACGGGAAAGAGTTGCAGAGTGGAGAGGGCAAGTGACCAGTTAGTTGGTAGAGCTACAATTCACAGCCAACTTTTCTTGCTCTTAAAACCCATGCTTATATTTTAAATTAGACCCCCAAAATGTATAATACCTTGATGCTTTTTGTTCCAAAACTGTCTTCACATTGTGTGTTCTAAGGAACGTACTCATTTAAACTTCCTGTAACAGTAGCTCAAAATAACTCTAATGAAATGTTGATTAACAAAAAATGTATCTGTTTTCTTCTGGGAACAGTTACATAAGTTCTGTTTGAGGAGGTTCTTTGTGTTTGGTTTTTCTATTGCCTGGGCAGGGGAAATAGTTATTTAACTGAACATTCAGTGGAAAAGGGACAGTATGCAGAAATGAATCTCAATTTCAAATACCAAGCCCCAAGCATGGCACATTTCCTAAGGGCCAGAAATGGGTTTTAAACCATCCTGCTGTATGTCTGCCTCAGAAGAGGAACTGCTGCTTTTCTCTGTTGGTGTCTGCAAACAAGCAAGCTCCATGACAGCTATTTATCTGTAATTTATTTGTAAGTACATTTTACCAGTGATGTCTCAAGTGAGATGTAATGACAGCCACAAGAAGCAGGCTATAATGGGCAGGGTGCTGCAATGCCTCTGAGAGGTGGCAATAGCTGTGCTCTTAAGTGGCCCTCCCTCTTTCCCCTTGTCATCCTTCTCTCCTAGACTGTGGCCTAATTCTGCTCACAAGGGTTCAGTGGCATGCCAATAGCCTTTAATTAGTTTTTGTAAAAGAGGCATTGTTGACTAGAAAGACTGGCTTTTATTTAAACTCTGCCCTTTTTGCAAATGCCAGGCTTTCTCAATATTTCAGAGGAAATTTTGTTTTCAATACAATTACTGAATCTGACCAGATTACAGACAAAGCACCTCCCATGCTGCTCAGTGCTAAGATACTGCATCTTCGATTTTCTATATGTCACAACATTCTGAAGCTTGTTATTTATAGAACCATTTTTACAACTACACATTCTCCTATAGTTCTTGCTTCCTTTGAAGCAGGCCATAGGGCCCATGCAAATGATTTCTTTGAAGAGAGAGAGAGCCTAAGACTTAGAAATTTAATTTGTATAACTAACCCTGGCTGTTTTCCCCTTTTAGGAGTCTGATTCTTCCTCCTCCTCCTCCTCTTCTGTCACACAGGTCCTTGTGCTCAACTCCAGTGCAGTTTGGTTGATTGATGCTTCATTGTCTACATGCACCAGCATCTGCATTGGCCAAAGACATTATAGATTAGTAGGAAGGATACTGGCCTCAAAACAGCAAATCCTTAAAACTGTTTTAAAATCAAATCTCAATTGCACATCCATCCCCAATATTTATGACTAAGGGGTAGGGCCCCTTTCCTGTTTCTTCAAATTCTACCCCCGGCCCTGTTGCAAAAATGGGGGAAGAATAAATGTGCCAGATTTACTAGAATCATTACCCGATTTATAAACGTTCTTGTAGAAAGCTCTGACATAAGAGCTGTGCCAACTTAGATGTACTGCTTTGTAATGGTGGGGTGTTTTTTGTTCGTTGGTTTTTTAAGATGGTGTCTCACTATATTACCCAGGCTGGTTTCGGACTTGGGCTTAAGGGGGACTACAGATGTGTGCCACTATGCCTGGCTAATTT